GGTGGCGGGGGTCTCCACCTTGAGAACTGGGGGGAGGGGCCCTGCCTTACAAATTATGTGCTGCCCGAACACAAAACTTCTGTATATTTTCATTCTGTTTTTAAATTCCCCTCTTACGTTTTTTTTCTTCTTCTCCCTCCATTTCATTTCGAGCAGGGTCAATGTTTTGTTTACTCCTCTGATGGAAAAGCCCCTTTTGGTGTTTACCTGGAGTCTTTGAAGTTGCAGTACAGCACACAAACACATCCATTGGTATTAAAGAAAAAACGCAGTTTGCGCTTTGTTTTCCGAAGTGCGCTGCGCTAACAAACAGGACAGACACAAAGACAAATCCAATACATGTGAATACACGAGGGCAAAAGAAAATGCAATGTTCATTGTTGCACTATTTAGTAATAAAAGAACACAAAAATTGTTTTGACCTCGTTTTTAGGAGGTGAACAGAAATGGCATTATGTGGTAGAAGCAAAAAATGCAAAAGACAAAAAAAATTAGTGAACAGTATGTTGAGCTGCCAGACGGGGAATCACGTTTGTTACCCTGTGCACTTAAAGACCAATTCAACTAAATGAATAAAGGTGACACGGAAGGCCTGAGCAAGGACATCCAGGCGGTTGTGAGCTTACCGAGAAACAGTGTTCCAGAATGAATACGAACCCTTTTCAGTCTTTGTTACGATTTTGTAATAAACGTGTACATTTTTTTTTTAATTTTTTGACATCACATGAATAAAGATATGTATGTATGAATGTGTATATATATGATATATATAGATAGATGTATCTATATATATATATACATGGCGTCTATTTTGGAAGAAGTACCTATGCTTGACCTCGTTTTTAGGAGGTGAACAGAAATGGCATTATGTGGTAGAAGCAAAAAACGCAAAAGACAAAAAAAAAATTAGTGAACAGTATGTTAAGCTGCCAGACGGGGGAATCACGTTTGTTACCCTGTGCACTTAAAGACCAATTCAACTAAACGAATTAAGGCGACAAGGAAGGCCCGAGCGAGGACATCTGTATTGCGGGAAAAAGAAAAAAAACAAAACAAGGAGGTGGAGACATTTCAGCTGCAGCTATTTGAATAGAAGCATTTCGTAGGAAAGGGAAACCCCATAGTACGAAAAACAGACCAATCTTGTATTTTCTGACCACCTTTAAAGCTCCCTTTCTTTGTAATAAAGCAGAACGGCTTTCCTGAACCAGTGTTTGGACTCTGTATGGGAAGGGGGTGTGTGGGTGAAACCGCACTTTCGGTATGAGCATGAGTGCGTGGCTGTAACGCATGACTAATCCTAACACTGCTTTTTCCTGTTCACGTGAACAGACGTGCTTTTTTTTCAAGTTTTTTAATAAAGATGCCATGAGTTAATGGTTAACACACACAGATTACTTACAAAAGGCCAGAGAAAAATCAGATGGAATGTCACTGATGTGAAGAAACTGCTGTGTAAGTCGCTTTTCGATCACTATGAAAACTGTAAGACAGCAGCAGCTTTAAGGCAAGTGCAATTCAACTTCCTCCATCACAGTGCGCAAGGACGATTTATGTTTTGTTTTTTTACTGTCATACACATTGCGATATATTTTAGGCAGCACAAATAGCTAAACAAAATATGTTAGTGTGCTACATTTTACATGATACATATTTCACATATCAAAAATGAGGGTGTTGAATGAGTTTTGGGCAGAAATTCATTAGTTAATTAGTACTGTTGACACAAGAAAAAAGCATTCTAGTTCACATAATTCAACTTTAAAAGGAAAGTTCACCCAAAAATGAAGTGTCTGTCATTGTTTATTCACCCTCTTGTCATTCAAAACATGTATGACTTTCCTTCTGAGCAACATAAAAGATGATATTTTGAAGAACTGTTTTTGTCCAAATAATTAAAGTCAATGGGGTCCAAAATAACCCTATTGGTCCCCATTGACTTTCATTGTATGGACCAAAAAATTATTTAAAAAAAAAAAAATCTTGTGTTCCGCAAAATAAGTCATATAGGTTTGAAACAACATGACAGAATTTCCATTTTTGGGTGAAATATAATCAGTTCTTTGAATTTCTTTTTAAATTTCATTATCTAAAAAAAAAAAATCATTAATCTAAAAAAATCAATTTCATTATCTAAAAAGAAAAAGAATCTGCTAAGAGCCGGTTTTACCATATAAAAATATCTGTGCCTAACAATCAATGTTGTTAAGAGAGAGAGAGAAAAAAAAAGTACAGACGCCTTCATCTACCAATAACATTTCTTGAATTTACATGACCGCATAATACTTGACAAAACAGCGGTTGAACGTCATTGTCGATACATAAAACAATCATGGTCTAAAACCGAAGCATTGGTCCAAATCCACAGTCAGCTCCAGTCGAACGAGTGCAGGTGGCGTAACGTCAAAATGATTTTAAGACGCTGTACAGACTCCAACAGAAGTATAGTGGCTGGAGGGTCAATGTTTATAGCCTCCTCTGGAGCGAGTCCATGCTGTTCAAGTGATTTATATATCGTTCAAGCTGCTCTGTAGTTTCACTTGGTGCTGGTTTCCCCAGGAGAACCCTCAATCGTTGAGGAACCAGGACCAGTTTTGGCAACTTCGTCTGAAAAGAGAGATTAAATGAGTGTTTGTGGTGCTAAATGTCACCATAAAATGTTCTAGAGATCATGGATCCATCAAGCAACCTCTGTCCTTCTTCTCCTGGGTCTCCTCGGCTGCCGTTTTATCAGCTCTGAAGAAGATCCGAGCGCTGCTCAGAGAGAAATAGAGCAGCTCGAACTCCTACAAATGGAGAGGAGATGTGAATAAACAAAGCCATTGGCCATCATTGCTGAAGATCATGGAGATGCTCCCATACCTGCAGATATATGTCCAGTCTCTTCTGGGTCAGGTTCATGGTCTGCATGAGCTTCTCATCTTGGCTGGTGGACTGAACGTTCTGCTCCTTCACCACCGCGTTCATTTCCTTCATGTACTTTTCCCTCACAGCCTGGAACCAGTGAAGAGAGTCAAACTCCTGATACTGGTCCAGAAGCTTCAGGATGTAGGCGACTCCTGTAGGTGAAAACATGGGAAAAGTCCTTGAATATATCATCCATGAAAAAAAAAAAGTGAAATACCATTGACGTTTGTGACCGTATTGAAGACGTACCCATGGCGAAACCATCGTCTGTAAACGCAGCTCCCACTTTGTTCTTCTTACTTAGTTTTTCTTTGCAGCTGATGGAATGTTCCACAAAATTTACCGCCTGTGAGGGAGAAGAAAGATGAACGTTATGCAAGAGATGTTACAATTAGCAAGAGATTTCCATATCCAAGATCTGAAGACCCACCAGAGGAGGAACTATCATGTAGAAGTTCCTCAAGTGCATGTTCTTGACGCTGCGAAACTCCGGTGCAAAAACCCCCACCAGCATCTTGAAGTACTCAGTTCCTTCAGCCGAGTTACTGGTCAGGTCACCAAGCACACAGTCCAGCTGACTGAAAAATAAAAAATGAAAAATGAAATTACTATTTATTGTATAATAATAATAATAATAATAATAATAATATTCGAATTAATTATTAATAATATTATATTTTAGAATTAATTATCTAATACTTATTTACAATAATAATACAAATTATTATTATTGGTATTTATAATTATCAGCATCATCAGCTATTTTTGTTTTATTTCTAATCTGACATTTATGTATTATTAATATTACTACTGCTATTATTACTATTAATGTTTTATTATTTATTTATTAATAATAACAACTAATAAATACTAAACCTAATAATAATAACAATAGTAATAATTACTAGTCATTTATTGTTATTGTTGGTATGTTTTAATAATAATAATAATAATAACATCATCATCATTATTATAAATAACAGTAACAATGTTTTAGTATTAATTAATAACAATAACAATATTGTTAATTGTTATTATTACTGTTGTTGTGTTTATTATTGTTGTTGTGTTGTTTTATTAATTAGTATTAATGTCTAATTATTATAATTATTTTATTATTGATTTTTATTTTTATTATTATTATTATGTTTTAGTATTTGCAGTATTTATGAATTATTATTATTGCTGTTTTATTTATTCACATTATTATGATTATTAATTTCCTGGCTGAACGACGCTGATTAGCTGACATTATGAAGTACAGTACCTGGCAGCTTTCTGCGTCTCTTCAGAAAGGCCTTCCTCTTTCACAAGCTCCTCAAAGTTGACGATGTCCTCGAGATCAGGAACAAACCTGGAACATATTTAAATGTGAATTCCTTGCTAAATATCTTTTTTTTGGTTTGGAGGACTTCTGTAGGAAGACTTGTATTATTTTATTAAGACTCCTACCATATGCGTCTCGTTTAGAGTGTTGTGTGAGAAAACTATTATTATTTATCTAGTATTAATCAACACTACCAGTATTACTACGACCTGAACGTCTCAGTCAAATTATCTTTGTATGTAGTTGTAGAAGGTGATGTTTAACCTGATAGCGCTGCTGCAGCAGTGCAGCCCTCCAGACCGAATCATGCGCACATAACCCATCGCATTGCCTGCAAGAAAGAAAAAGAAAGGGAAGAGAAAGAGAAAAAAAGTTAAAATAATAAAACATTTATTGATTAAATAATTGAATGATTTGTTTTTGGTTTGACTGAATAGTCAAGTAAAATCAACCATCTAGGATCCTATGAAATGCGTTTCATTTTTTATTCTTAAACTCTGTTTTATTTATTTATTTCAAATTCTGTTTTCTCCATTTTAATATTTCTGGATTCTGTTTTAAAGGCGTCATCGGATACCCATTTTCCACAAGTTGATATGATTCTTTAGAGTCTTAATGAAAAGTCTGTAACATAGTTTGGTTAAAATTTCTCAATGGTAGTGTAAAAAAAACACCTTTTTTACCTTGTCCCTGCCAACACACATTTCAGTTCAAACAACTTGTAAAAGTGCATGTAGCATCCAATGACCCCTTTAATGGTTTAATTAAATTTTTATAATTTTTAATTTTATGGGGAAAAAAACTGATTGTGTGATATCCCTTAAAATAATGTTTTAATAAACTGCATTATTATTATTAGTAAGTAGTAATGCCCTAAGCATCCCAGCATGCACATCATTAAGTTGATAACAGAACGAAAGGAAAGAGCTCCAAGACGTGTCTAAAAACCTATAGACAAACTTTACCGATCTGACTGATGAGCTGTCTGAACTGATCCAGGTAGCTCTGACCATCTGGAGTAAGACCCAACTTCCTGATGCCACGGTTGAACTTCTCTGCTCGCTCAAAGGGGTACTACATACAGCAGAAAGCAGCAGAAGAACGTGTCTTCAGAAGATAACATTGCTTCACGAAATAACGACATGCAAATGGAGACCAGCTTACCTTTTGGTCAGTCTGATCCTTGGTTTCCCTGAAGAAGCGGATGTCTTTGATGAGTCTGGATTTGATGTGCTCGTCATACATGAACTGACTGAAAATGTAGAACTTCTTACGGAGGAATTGATATGTGAAGTTCACCTGCAGAGAGATACTTCAGGCCATCAATATGATGAGATATTACTGGAGACGTAATACAGATGCAGCTGACAGTACATACCGTTGTGTTCATAATGCCGGTTCCATGAGTGCGAATGGAGTTGGCAATGTGGCGGATGTTAATGGTGTTTAAGTGCTTGTTGTTGCTGGTCCTCTCAATGAAGATCTACACACAATGGAAAAAATGTTTTACACAAACACATCAAGTGAAGTAAAACATGCGTGGACAATCATAATGTCAGAGGTCAAGTCCTGCCTGGTTGTTTAGGTTGTAGAGGTAGCGAGAGACGAAGACGTGAATGTTCCTCATGATCTCGAGGACATCCAGGCCCTAGGAGACACACACAATGATGTCAGGCTGAATGCAGCAGATCTTTTCTGAGATGATCTGGTGAGGTACACACCTGTTCCAGTGTTTGGCTGGGGAGATGCGCCTCAGTCATCACCAAACCATAGCGCTGTGTGGCGAGGTTCCTCATCTCACTGTACGTGGCCCAGTCATGGAGAGCCACAGTCGTCAAGTTATAAAACGTCTTGTCCAGATAATGAGTCACATAGGCTGCAGGAAACAGAGGATTTGATCTTAATATTTTCCACATCATGATTAGAAGGCAGAGACAAAGCTCAAGGTTATGATGATCTCCAGCAAAAGACTCCATTCTTAAAATATAAAGGCAACTATTTATTTTCATGTATAAAGTCATTTAAATATCTATATATCTATCTATCTATGCACATAAAATATGTATAAATTGTATATATATATATATATATATATATATAATTTTGTATATATTTTAATTACATATACTGTTATAATTATCTATTACAATTATGATATATATATATATATATATATATACATACACAGTAATGTTTATGTATACTAAATTTGTTATATATTTTTTGAATACTATATTTTTATAAAATGTATACATACCACATAAAAATTAATGAATAAAGATTGTAGATTTTCACTTTATTAAAGCTGAATCTACTGTAAAGCATTGTAAAAAAAAATAATAATAAAACATTTTCTGTTGAAAG